ACGCCCCCCCAGCATACCCCCGAGTTTGGTGTCGAATTTTGTTTGGCCCATTCTCGGCGGCGAGCCTGGGGAGAAGTGACAAGGGGAAGGCCTTCTCAGACGGCTCGGAAGTCCCGAGGCGTTCTGAGAAGTTTTGTAAGCCTTCCCCGAAGACACTGGAAACTCAGAAGGCGCGAGGGCTTCTGAGAAGCCCCGCCGCCTTTTGAGAAGGTCTTCGCCTTCTCACTTGCCTTTGGATGGACTGGGAGGTCAAATTCTGACTTTGCCCTGATCCGACATCCGGCCCAATCCCGTTGAAGCAGGCTTAAGTCCGCTTGATCGGGCGCAATCCCGCTTAATTTGCGACCTAATCTGGCGTAACAGCCCCCCAATGGGGCTTAATCCTCCTGAGTCGTTCCTACGAAGACCTCCCAGTAGTGAGTTGCCTCCTAACTTCCCCTCTCGCTCGCCGCCGAATTCAAAAGTCCAACCAGGTCGGGGATTGGGGTCGCCATGTCACGCGTGAACCTTTTTGGCCACCCCCGAACCTCGGGGGCGGGCGGCCTGGGGGAGAAGCCAGCGCTGTATGTGCAGCCACGTCGGGTTCCGCCGCCACGCCCTCTCTCCTGGATGCTTTCTGGCGCCCACGGCGCAAGGAGTCGCCGGGAAAGTCAGCTGCATGAGCAGTCGGGGTTCCAGGGACGGGCGTCAATGAAAATGGGGGTCAGTCAGAGTGCCAGATCTTGCAAAATCCTTGAAAAAAGCCAGGGTCGCAATGACCCAGATAAGCGTGCAGCATCATGCAGGATCCTGCAGGACCCTGCAGGGTTCGGCTGACCCGCGTTTGCATTGACCCAGGCCAGTAGATCCCCGAAGCTGGCTCGCTCACCCCCGATTTTCCTCTGGGAACAGACAGTGGCATAACCATAAACTTTCGGAGGTCCGCGCGGGTTTCTTGGATGGGCTCTGGGCACCCCATGGCGGCTAGGGAGGGGGATCCAGCGCCGAGCCAAGAAGTCAGCCTGCTCTGCGACCAGCTGCGAATCTGACCCCTGCGCGGCCGCTCAACGCCGGGGTATCGGGCACCCTTGCTGGGGCTCGCATGGCTGCACACAGCTTTCGAATTCCGAGCCCCAGCTGGCGTTTCAGGAGTGTGGCATGCAGGGGTAGGGTTCACAGGTGGTTGCCCACTTGCATCACTTGTTTGATTGCAGCGGCATCGACACGTTTCTTGCCCCCCCCCCAGCAGGAGGTGCACTGCGGCGGCGGGCCCGCCCCACTGTTCGACAATCCTGCGCAGATTCTCCGGTGCGGGGTACTTGTGGCTGTCTTTCATTTTGTAGATCTTCTCTCTCTCTCTCTCTCTCCCTCTCTCTCCCTCCCCCTCTCTCTACTCTCTCTCCCTCTCTATCTACTCTCTCTCTCTCTCTTTCTCTCCCTCTCTCTCTGTCTCTCTCTTTCCCTCTCTCTCCCTATCCCTCTCTCCTGCTCTCTCACCCTCCCTCCCTCCATCCATCTCTCTCTATTCCTCTGTGTCTCTCTATCTCTCGCTCTCTCTCTCCCGCTCTCTCTATCTCTATCTCCCCACCTCACTTCCTCCCTCCATATTTCCCCAGCCGCCCGCCCTGCTGACCGCGGCCGCCAGGTCCCCGCCGAACAAAGCACACCGCCGAACTAAACATATCCTAGCATACAATAGCATACATTGACATACCATATCGTAACATAACACACCATGACAGAGCAGCGCATACCATATCACACCATCACAACACACTTCACTCCATAACATGACAAGTCAAGCAAACCAGGACATCGACGCAGAAGTTAGCATACCAACACAGAACATGCCACACCATCATAAATTATTGCATATTATAACATACATAACACGGCATACCAACGCATGTTATGCCAGATCGGAGCATACATAACATAGCATAGCATAGCATAGCATAAAACTGGCCGAGACCACTGCGCCCCGCGATCACCTTCGGGATCAAACGCCGAAGGTTTCGGTGGGGATCGCTCGAAGCAAAATGAATGTGTTGTGTCTCTCTCTCTCTCATTGTCTCTCTCTCTCTCTCTTGCCTTTTTCATTATCTCTCTCCCTCTTTTTCTCTGTCTCTATTCCTCTCTCTCTATTTCTCCTCTCTCTGGGTCTCTCTATCTCTCTGTTTGTCTGTCTGTCTGTCTGTCTGTCTGTCTGTATGTCTGTCTGTCTGTCTGTCTGTCAATCTGTCTGTCTATCTCTCCCTCTCTCTACGTTTCTCTCGTATCCTCTCCACCATGGAATCTGGGGGCGCTTTTGGGGCCCGGAACAATCAAGGACCGGATCGCGGGATGAGAGAGTGGACCCAGGGAAGAGGAGGTTCCGTATAAGCCTCCCGAGTCACCAGATGTGCAGTCAAAACGCCTTGGAAATTCGCCCGTCGGTGCTTCATCTTCGATCCGAAGCGTATCCTCGATCCTTCACCCGTGGGGGAGGAGATCGAGAGCTCTGAGTCCCACGGGCTGAACACAATTGACTCCTCATAATCGTCAGAGCCACCCCATCTCCGACCAGGGGACATGAGGGACAAACATACAGACACACATAATCGTCGGTTCCCCGGAAAACATGCAAAAACATGTCAAGTGGAGGGGAAGACGAAAACCCAGAAGGTATGGGAACATCTTGAGGATCCAGGGGTTTGCGTCTATTTAATTATGTGTCCCTGGGCCCCTTCCGACAGGGTAACCTTAAGCCAGCCCCTTCCCAATGGGGACGGATGCTGCGACGCCCGAAGCAGACAGCACCCGCCCCCACCCCTGGGCGGGGCCGAGGTCGGCCAGCGGGGTGCCAAGGTCCTCCCAGAGGGTTGGGGGGGCCCAGAGCCAATGATCCTCAGGACATGCGTTACCAGAGGCAACGATGGGGGAAGCTTTTCTGAAGTTTTCTGGGCTTTTCCTCGGTTCTGGGGTTTTCGAAATCCTCGGGATTCTCTCAAGCAGCTGCGCCTCGTCGAGGGCGTTCCGGGGGTGCCGGAATCGTTCCAGACGGCCGCCGGAGAGCCGAGCTTGGTCCGAAAATCATGAGGCAACGACAGCAAAGGGGGATGGGCATAGGGGGGGGCGCATCGAACCCCAATGGCCCATGGATCGATGATAGGGGCCCGATAGCCCCACCCCACCCAGAAACGTGGGGATTGGCCAACGGGGGCCATCGCCGATCATTCGGCGATGTATCGCCGATTCCAGGTCGATGTTTCCCCCCCTCTGCCAGTCCCCCCTATCGTGGCCCCTCACGTGAGCCCAACGTGTGCACGACTTGCACGCCACCAGCACCCGCACACGTGCTTCGTGCTCTGATTGTGGTCCCTTCCCCTCATGGGTCTCCCCGCCCGCGCGCTCTCGCCCCGGCGCGCGCTCCATGTGCGCCCCAACTCGGTTGCCACTGCGCCCCAGTGTTTTCTGACCGCTTGTTTTAGACGAGACGCCGCGGACCAAAAAAAAGCCAGCCCAATATGTGTGTGTGTGTGTCTGTGTTTGTGTGTGTGTTTGTGTTTGTGTGGGTGTGTCTGTGTGTGTGTTTTTGTGTGTGGGTGTGTGTGTGTGTGTGTGTCTTGACCCCGTTCGGCCAGTGGCTGCCATCGTAACACCACCTGGGTCAGATTGAAGGGCGCTAGGCATCGCTCGGGCGTATGTTTTTCTGGGTAAGGGTCACCGAGGAGCATTTTGGCTCATCTTGCGAACAAGTACACGCACGAAGAAAAACAATTCACGGGGAATGGACGTCCAAGAGTTGGCAAGGGCGTCTGTAGACAAGCACGCATTGGCGCCAACGCACGTTCTGAGGATCATCGGCAGAACTCCGCCGGAGGTCTGGGCGACCGGAGGGCTGAAGCGCACGACGCGCCCGAGCGAATTCGGGCGTCCGCGGGCGGCATGCCGCCAGTGCGGGACCGCCTCCCCTCGACTTTGGGGGGCGGTGCCTTCGGCGCCGCCCCCCCGGGTGTGCTTCCCAAGCCCCCACCCGAAGTCTTTCTCTAGGCCTCCCAGATGGGGTTCCGAGTAGAGGGGCTTTGAGGGTCGCGCCGCATCGCCGATGCATCGCCGATGCGGCTCGGAGCGAAGCCCAACTTTCTCCATGCCGACGGCGCCGATGCATCGGCGATGCATCGGCGATGAATCGCCCATGTATTGCCGATGTGGCGCGATCCCCCGACCCCATGCACTCGGACCCCATCTAGGAGGCCTCCACTTGCGTACACGTGAGAGTTTTTTTCGCTGGAGTGACCTTTGACGCGGGCTCAGCGGTGTCTCGCTTGCTCTGAACGCGAAGCGGGGTAGCAGCAGATTGCGCGCCCGGATTTGGCCAGCCCGCGACCCCTTACGCCGCGCACCAAGGGTCACTCTTGCGTCAAGTCGCTCTTGCGTGCAGCCGAACCTTAGGAGCTCGAGACCGAGACCTTTCGCTACTGACGGCATCTGCCCCGACTCTGCAGAGTGCGGAAGGTTCGCCCTCCACACCTGTAGACCGCCGGGGGCTAGTTACAACCTGGTCTATACAGTTTATGCTCAGAGGTGTCATTTTTGGGGCTGCCCTCTTGGCAAGTCAGGGTGGGAGCCGTAGACCGCCAGGGGCCCTCCACGCCTGTAGACCGCGGGGGGCCCTCTTGGAAAGTCAGGGTGGGAGCCGTCTTCGGGCTCCAGAGCTCCAGGACCAGCGGAGAGTGGCTCGGGGTGAAGAGTCGGCACCCCAGAACGGTTCGGAGGTGGATAGACCTCCTACCCTGACGCGTCGATGAAGGAATTGGCTGTTTTCGGTTCGCAAGAGGGCGTCGCAGCCGTCATTTTTTGCGGGTCCAGGTCCGTCGGTTTCGGTCCCAGGCCGTTTTCATTACGGGGAGGTTACCAAAGGGAGGTTTGTCCACCGCCGAACGGTTTTCGGACGGGGCCAGGACGAGGACGAGTCCGTTCCAGAGCGTTCTGCAGCGTTCCGGAGCGCTCTTAGAAGGCCGCGGCGCCCAAGACATCCTCCGGAGCCTCCAGATCTCAGAGACTCTCGATGCATCCTCACCCGGTTTTTCATCCTCGTTTTGGCTTCGTCGTAGGTGTCGGGAGCACCAGGGCCCGCGTGCCCAGAGAACGCTGTATCGGAGGTCAGGGCCCCTCGCGCGCCTGGACGGGGGGGCGCCCCGACGCCAGCGGGAGGTATGCCGCCCTGTTGGCGTCCGGGTCTTGAGCTCGTGTGTGTGTGTGTGCGTGTGCACTTCCGCCCTCCTGTGTCCGAGCATCGGCCTCTGCCTCGTGATCTCCGGCCTCAACGGGCTCCTGTTCTTCATCTCGGCGAAGAGAGACTGCACAAATATGAACGTTCGAGGCCCGCGCGGATCTCTTGGATCTACCCTGCGCCCCCTCTGGCGGTGCCTCTGGCGCCGCTCCAGGCGCGCTCCGCGCGCCACGGAGGGGGTCCAGCGCCGATCCAAGGAACCCGCGCGGACCTTCGAGTGTTCATATTTGTGTTGTTTTCTCTTCTTCCATCATCAGCGCCTCTGGCGTTGTCACCGTGAGCCAGCTCCAGCAGTCGTGCGGGCTGCCCCTGTGGTGGTTCATGTTCACCGTGGGGGCCATCACGTTCATCACCTCGGTCGCCTACTTCCTGGTCGCGAATGTTGAGGTGGCGAGTGACACCGAGTGGTTCAGCTATGGCATGGGTGCCACCTTCTTCAACGCTGGGCAGATAGTGTCGTCCCTGTGGGGTTTCTGGATAGTCTGGCAGGCGAGGAGTGACGACCAGTGCCAACACCTCGCCGAGGTGGCTCTGTGGTACACCGTCATCTGCGCCTTCATGTTCTTGTTCATCACCGTGGTGAGCTTCCTCGTCCTGAAGCTTGTCTTCCTGCCCAGCTTCGCGATCCAGGTGCTGAGCCTGCAGGACTTCAAGTAGGCCGCCGCGGCTGGTGCTGCCACCGCGCCTGCGGCCAGATCGGAGGCCAGGAGCCAACACAAACACAAATTTCGGACGTCCACGCCCATTTTCTTCGCTGGCGCTGGACACCCTCCGCACAACCCTCCTCTGGCGCGGGGAGCGCGATGGGGGCCGCGCCAAAGGCGCCGCCCATGGGTCCGGCGACGGCGGACATATTGTTCTCGCACGTCCGAAGTTAATATCTTCTTGTGCTTTCTCCTGGCCTCCAATGCACAGGGCACTTGGGCACCACCACTATGCCTGGCCAAGGCCATCCTGGGCCCTGTCCCGGTCCCGTGGTGTCTGTATGGGCCTTCCTGGCCTCGGCCAGGAGGGTGTATGCACCATGGTGCGGCCAAGGCTGGCCCTAGTCAGGGATCTTGGTGGTGCCTCCAGCGTGCCCCGGCCCAGCCTCACGTTCCGGGCGCCGTGCCGAGCTTGCAGAACCTCGAGCACAAGCAGGCCGCCGCGGCACGGCGGCCGCCACCGCGCCTGGCTGCACGAGCCTCTCCGCTCTGCTGCGCGCTGGCGGCATGCGCCGGCGGGCTGGCTGCACGTGGCCTGCGGTACCGTCGGCACTGCGCCGCGCTGGCCCGCGGCCCATCGCGCGGCCACGTGGGAGCTTCGCGCCGGGCGCCCTCGAGCCTCGGCGCCGGGCTGGCCCCTGCCAGCCCCGGCGGCGCCCGGCCCGCCCCGAGGACCCCGCAAGCGCGCGCGCGATCAATGCGGAGGTTGCGGCGGAGTTTGCGGGCGAGAGCGGAGAATGAGGGCCTGCGGCGGACGCTTCCCTCCTCGGCCTCCCTCTCCGAGGCGGGGGAGGACGACGACAAGGAGGATGGCGCGGAGGAGGATGTAGGATGGACGAGGAGGGATTGGGAGGGAGGGCGATGGGGGCAGGGGTGCGGGGGACTGAGGAGGAGCAGCAGGAGGGTGGCGGAGGAGAATCGAGGGAACGCTAACATGGATTAAGGCGCCTGGATTACCCATGTGTCGTTGAAAGTTGGTATTTTTGGAGTCCCAGATTCCAATCTACTTTAAGCGCCTTCCTACTTCAATGATCCAGTGGCTTCACCTTTTCCGTCCTCCCCAAGGGGCGGACTGAACCCAATCTTTTTTCAACGCCTTCCTACTTCATGTTTCTACCTACCTCCTCCGACCGATGTGTAGCGACGGGTTCCGTTCCCATGCAAAATCGGCGCGCGCTTTCGCCAAATGAGGTGGCACTGGCTTCATATGTCGGGGGTTAGATTCCCCGATCCATGGATCTGGCGCCCACGCACCAGATCCACGCATCACTGAGTTGTCCATGTTAGCGTTTGTCCGAGAGAAGGATGAGGGAGGAGGACGTGTACGGGATCTTTACGCGCACGAACTTCACCCATGGACACCTGCGTGTGAGCCGCCTGGCATCTCGCCGTGCGCCTTCGGCTAAAAATTACATAACATGATCTGGTTTGACGTCTGTGTGCAATGTACGGTCAGGAATTTTGGCTTCGCTGGTCGCGCCGCCTGTTCTGGCCACCACGACTCGGCGCGAGACGCGTTCCACTTCCCGGTCCCCAGGGTTTAGCGCCCCGAGCTGTTCCGAGCCCCCCGCCCTGCGGAGCGGAGCGACACGCCGACACGCTGTCCGCTCGCAGGGCATAGCGTGTCGCCGGGTCTGCCGCCGCGACTCGGTAAGCAAAACGTTCCGGCCGTATGCCCCCAGTCCCTCTCCTCCTCTGCCCTCCTCCCGTCCCCCCCCTTTTTGCTTCCTGCCGCGGAGCCCGCTGCCGCCCCGAGAAAGCACGCCGCCCCCCCTCGGAAGGCGGCGGTGGCGCCAGCGACTGCGCGGATCGGCCCGACTTGGAGTGGACCGTGGAAGCGTGGGCGGGCGACCGCTGGGAGGTTCTCGGCGCCCCTCTCCATCTGCTTCCCTGCCCGATCGAAGGAGTCATCAACACATCATGCTGATCACCATCGTCAGCATCAGCATGAGCATCATCAGCAAGCCCCGGCCCGAGGTTCCAGGGGCATGACGGCCCTATCGCAGTCTTTTGCAGTCTTACACTGCCTTTCGACACTACGATGCGTGGCCCCCTTTTATGAAGATAGTACAGTGGACCCCCCTGTCTCTCTCTCTCTCTCTCTGATTACGACCAACGTCTCGAGCTTGCACAGCATACCAAGTTTGCACATATTCTCCTTCTATATCGAAACACTGCCAATCATAATACGGATCACCCGACCTATCGTGAGCTGTGCATTCACGAGAACTGTGTGATGCTGAAGTTTGGGTGGAGCGAGTCGCGTGGCAACCTCGCGAACAAGAGTTGTGGCGTGGACATTTGGTTCAACCGCAGGAGATTCAGGAGATCCCACCTCTTCAATTTTTGGCCTGTGCAGGGTTCGCCGAGGACCTGGCGCTCGATGAAGGGAGAGGGAGGTCTCGCCGCGGAGCAGGTCGAGCAATGACAGTTCATTGCGCAGGCCGCGGAGCAGGACTACCCGTTTTACCCTGAGATGAAGAACGGGGAGGCTGCCAACCTGGACCTCAACAGGCTTGTCGAGAAGTTTTCGAGAGGCCACCGCCGCCGCGCCTCCCCACGCTGGTCCATGCCGACGGATATATGGGGCTTGTTGATGGCATGCAGAGCCCAGCGTCGTGATCGAGGAGAGCGGACACCCATCAGAGGCCCTTTACTGCAGGAGTTTACGTTGGCGCAGTTACGCCATCGATTCAACGCGTGGAATGTATCCTAAACACATGTCAGGTCAGCAAGGTGAATCAGAAAACACGCACGCGATGAGCACGTCTTTTACATGGACTCTGCTCTGGACATACCGCATGAGGACCACGGCTACGTGAAAGGTTGATCCAGGGTCGGGGCGCTCGCGGTTGGCAGCGCGCTGCAGTGGCGCCTCTCTGACGCGAAGGTCAGCCGCATCACCGCCGAGCGCGACGTGACGAACGCGTTCGCCAGCGTTTGCCAGGAGCACCTCGATGGGACGGCGTACCAGATGCATCAGCCAGAGGACGTGCAGATCATGCTCACCAGGCATCGTCGCGCAGCATTTGTGGTGAACGCCCACGACGGGGGCGGCACCTTCGTCAACGCCGTGGGCTGTTACATGGGCGATTCCGACGCGGCCCCCAAGTTCAGGGTCGCGTTCGAGCAGCCGACGCAGGAGTGGCGGGCCTTCTTTTCCCTTCGAATGATGTTCACGCGCTGACAGCGGGATGCCCCATCACAGAATCGCGCGGTCTGGGTGTTTGGAAGTGCGCCAGCGACCTGGCCTGCGCGCGCGCGGCCCCAGACGCGCGCGGTGCGGCTGCGAAGGCCGAGGCCCCGGATCGCTACTTGGGCGAGGCCCTCAGCCGCGTCGGACTGGCTCAGAGTCGTGAACAGAAGGTGCGAGTCCTTGTTTCGTGGGGACAGGTTCGCAGAGATCCACGAGGGCGCCCCACTACCGTGGGGCCCCCAAAGTTGGCGAGCTGCAGGCCACCTCGGTCTTTTCGGGGGCCAGCGCTCAGACCTCAAGGCGAAGCGACGAGGTGATCGGGGCGCGGTGCTCCGCCGTGCGGGCGGGCCGGCGCGGGGTGGGCAAGGTTTGGGGGGTCTGCCCCTTCTTCGGGCGCAAGCGCCTCATCTTCATGAGCAGGGTGATTGGAGCTGCGGTCTCAGGCCTCGAGGCGAGGGCCCTCGCGAAGGACCAGGAAAAGAGGCTCGATTCGGTTGCTGCCAGGCATGTCAGCGCGCTACGCCAGCGAGTCGCGATCCATAGGCAGCCGAACGATGAGGGAGAGGAAGAACTGTGGGAGGTCACGATTATATGTGCGGAAGCCGCGCGGGCAAAAAAAAGGCCCAGGTCGCCCCCCGCCAGCTTCGAGGTTGCAGCGCGTCGGCTTCGACATTATCGGGCTCTCGCTCGCCGCCCCCATCGCCGCGCCCAGGAACTAACCGCTGTTTTGTTGGGAATATCGCTTTCGAGAACGCGCCCCCCGCAAACTCCGAAGGGCCGCGCATGCCCTTGGCCCCATGCAGTCCAAGAACTGGTTGTTCTATGTGGGTAGGCTTGAGGATGGGGCAGAGCTCCTGGACGACGTGCGCCGCGACTTCCCGAGGGTGTTCCAGGTGCCAGAGCTGCGCGCTAAGTGCCCGAAGTTCAACATGAAAGAACATCGAGGGCACTGGCTAGACACCCCCATCAGACAATGCGAGGACCAGGGTGTTTCGAGGGTGGGCACCCCTGCTCTCCACTAAACGAGGACGGCCTGGACCGTGGTAGCGGTTTCGCACGGTGCACGCACTACGAACACATCAAACACACTGAGGAGGCGAGCGCGGACAATTCAACACGCTTACTAAGTATTCATTCACAACTCAGCGCCCGACGTGTGCCTCAACATTCGCATGCAGGCGCGTGGCCATCATCCGCATCGCAGCAGCGTGCCGCCGCGGCGCAGGCATAGCCCACATGCCGACACTTAACTATTCCGTCGCTCTTCCGCAGCAGATTACGCGCCCAGATCATCGAGTTGTTGTTGCTTTTTACATACCCACGCTCCAACAGCACCTTGCGACCGCCCACCTGCCCCAGCCCACTCCGCGTCGCGGTTGCAGGCCTTGCCCGCGGCGCTTGAGGAAGGCGCAGCCGAGCCGCGCAAGAAGGAGCAGCGGGCGCGAGGAGGCTGGCAGACCCGGGTGGCATCGGGGGCAGGAGCAGCAGCGGCAGGCAGCGCGAAGAGAAAAGACCCGAAAATCGTGGACACCTCAGAGCTCGATAGCGAGACGGTGGAGACCAAGGCAATCCAGGAGTAACTCACAGGACTCTCGGATGCAGTGGCCGACGGGGATTTCAGAGATGGGTTCCATCTTGATGGCGAGCCACGCGGGGGTCTTCGAGGGCATCTTGGGGGAGGGAGCGGCGGAGAGGCGCGCGTACCAGACGCAGTTCGAGAATCTCAGCAAGCAGCAGGAGCAGGTCAGTGTCCAGGAGATGGGAGAGGTCGTGCCGATGGCGAAGACCACCGGCTGCCGCGGGGAATGCGACGTCAAGCTCGTCCTGAGCGTCGCGAGCGGCAAGTGCACGAGGCGCTGGGCCAGGTGGGCGCAGTCTGCAAGCAGGGCACGGCCCCGATGGGCCAACTCGAACGGCTGTTACACACGGGCCTTCACGAGCTCGGGGCGATGATGGAGGAGTAGGCGTCAGGACTCCCAAAGACCCCCAAAAACGATGGACTGATGAGGTCGTGGAACGCCTGAGGCTAGCTGCCAGCACGCCAATCCCTTCTCGTTCCCCCATCTGCGAGCCTTCGTCCCCCGAGCCTCGCCTCACTCACCCCACCCCCGTCCAGAGCCATAGCAACACGAGCCAAACGGTGTCCGAGCTGGTTGCCTGCTCGTCCGCAATCGCACGATCGATCATCGCACGAGTAGGGGTTCGTTTGGAGGCCAGGTGGCGGTTGGGGTGCCTCGTAGGAGCCGACCTGGGAGCGAAGAGGTAAGAACGCCAAAGCGCGAAAAATTATTGATGCTTCGGGGACCCTCGGTTCTCCTGAACGCCCCTCGGAGCCCGCTATACCAATGGGGACGGTGTTTTGTGCGCGGTGGAGCGGATCAGATATGAGCACCGCTCTGCGGCTTATGGGGGCACCGCGGCAACAGATGAAACTGACACGGCTGTGAGTCGCGACCGTGCTCGGTCACGCATCGCAAGCTGAAGCTCGGGTGTAGCCCGATCCTAGGGGCTCTCGTGCACGGGATTGCTGTTCGCCCCCGATGGGTTCTGATTTGATCATCATCACCATCGTCATCGTCATCGTCATCCTCACCAGCATCATCACCATTAACAACACCAGCATCAACACCATCAACATTACCAGGATAATCAGCCTCAGCATCTGTATCATCATGAGCATCACCATTGATTTCATCAGCATCAACATCAACCTCATCATCAGCAGCATCATCAGCATCACCAACATCAGCATCATCGTCATCATCTTTATCATCATCATCATCATCATCATCATCATCATCATCATCATCATCATCATCATCATCATCATAAACATCAATATCGGCCGCGTTGCCAGCTCATTGGGGGCCGTCTGCGGGGCTCCTCGGGGGCCTTGGGGTTCCTGGGTTTCTCGTCGCTTCCGCGCCGGTGGGCCCGCGGGGCCCCTTGCACGGCGAGCTTGACGCGCGGTCGGTCAATGTTTTTGGTCCGCCCAACGCTGCCTGTCGACACAGCATTCCGATCATCATCAGCAGAACACTCTCCACCACCACCTTCATCACCATCAGTACCGTCGTCATCATCATCACCACCACCACCATCATCATCATCATCATCACCGTCACCATCATAATAGTCATCATCACCATCTTCATCGTCCCCACCATCATCACCACCATCGTCAACACCATCACATCATCAGCACCATCATCATCATCATCATCAGCATCAGCATCAGCATCATCGTCGTCGCCATCGTTTACGTCACTGTCATTCCCAACAGCATCATCATAACCATTATCATCACCATAAGCATCATCATTATCATCGTT